AGCTGGAGGTCTTAAGTAACAATCAGCACAGCTGGAGGTCTAAGTAACAGACAGCACAGCTGGAGGTCTAAGTAACAGACAGCACTGCTGGAGGTCTAAGTAACAAACAGCACAGCTGGAGGTCTAAGTAACAGACAGCACTGCTGGAGGTCTAAGTAACAAACAGCACAGCAGGAGGTCTAAGTAACAGACAGCACAGCTGGAGGTCTTAAGTAACAATCAGCACAGCTGGAGGTCTAAGTAACAATCAGCACAGCTGGAGGTCTAAGTAACAAACAGCACAGCTGGAGGTCTTATGTAACAGACAGCACAGCTGGAGGTCTAAGTAACAGACAGCACAGCTGGAGGTCTAAGTAACAATCAGCACAGCTGGAGGTCTAAGTAACAATCAGCACAGCTGGAGGTCTAAGTAACAATCAGCACAGCTGGAGGTCTAAGTAACAGACAGCACAGCTGGAGGTCTAAGTAACAAACAGCACAGCTGGAGGTCTAAGTAACAATCAGCACAGCTGGAGGTCTAAGTAACAATCAGCACAGCTGGAGGTCTAAGTAACAGACAGCACAGCTGGAGGTCTAAGTAACAAACAGCACAGCTGGAGGTCTAAGTAACAGACAGCACAGCTGGAGGTCTAAGTAACAGACAGCACTGCTGGAGGTCTAAGTAACATTCAGCACAGCTGGAGGTCTGAGTAACAAACAGCACAGCTGGAGGTCTGAGTAACAATCAGCACAGCTGGAGGTCTAAGTAACAAACAGCACAGCTGGAGGTCTAAGTAACAGACAGCACAGCTGGAGGTCTAAGTAACAGACAGCACAGCTGGAGGTCTAAGTAACAGACAGCACAGCTGGAGGTCTAAGTAACAATCAGCACAGCTGGAGGTCTAAGTAACAAACAGCACAGCTGGAGGTCTAAGTAACAATCAGCACAGCTGGAGGTCTAAGTAACAGACAGCACTGCTGGAGGTCTAAGTAACAAACAGCACAGCTGGAGGTCTAAGTAACAGACAGCACAGCTGGAGGTCTTAAGTAACAATCAGCACAGCTGGAGGTCTAAGTAACAGACAGCACAGCTGGAGGTCTAAGTAACAGACAGCACAGCTGGAGGTCTTAAGTAACAATCAGCACAGCTGGAGGTCTAAGTAACAAACAGCACAGCTGGAGGTCTAAGTAACAGACAGCACAGCTGGAGGTCTAAGTAACAGACAGCACAGCTGGAGGTCTTAAGTAACAATCAGCACAGCTGGAGGTCTAAGTAACAAACAGCACCGCTGGAGGTCTAAGTAACAGACAGCACTGCTGGAGGTCTAAGTAACAGACAGCACAGCTGGAGGTCTAAGTAACAGACAGCACAGCTGGAGGTCTTAAGTAACAATCAGCACAGCTGGAGGTCTAAGTAACAAACAGCACAGCTGGAGGTCTAAGTAACAGACAGCACAGCTGGAGGTCTAAGTAACAGACAGCACAGCTGGAGGTCTTAAGTAACAATCAGCACAGCTGGAGGTCTAAGTAACAAACAGCACAGCTGGAGGTCTAAGTAACAGACAGCACTGCTGGAGGTCTAAGTAACAAACAGCACAGCTGGAGGTCTAAAGTAACAGACAGCACAGCTGGAGGTCTAAGTAACAAACAGCACAGCTGGAGGTCTAAGTAACAAACAGCACAGCTGGAGGTCTAAGTAACAGACAGCACAGCTGGAGGTCTAAGTAACAATCAGCACAGCTGGAGGTCTTAAGTAACAATCAGCACAGCTGGAGGTCTTAAGTAACAAACAGCACAGCTGGAGGTCTAAGTAACAGACAGCACAGCTGGAGGTCTTAAGTAACAATCAGCACAGCTGGAGGTCTAAGTAACAGACAGCACAGCTGGAGGTCTAAGTAACAGACAGCACAGCTGGAGGTCTAAGTAACAAACAGCACAGCTGGAGGTCTAAGTAACAGACAGCACAGCTGGAGGTCTTAAGTAACAAACAGCACAGCTGGAGGTCTAAGTAACAGACAGCACAGCTGGAGGTCTTAAGTAACAATCAGCACAGCTGGAGGTCTAAGTAACAGACAGCACAGCTGGAGGTCTAAGTAACAAACAGCACAGCTGGAGGTCTAAGTAACAGACAGCACAGCTGGAGGTCTAAGTAACAAACAGCACAGCTGGAGGTCTAAGTAACAGACAGCACAGCTGGAGGTCTTAAGTAACAATCAGCACAGCTGGAGGTCTAAGTAACAGACAGCACAGCTGGAGGTCTTAAGTAACAAACAGCACAGCTGGAGGTCTAAGTAACAGACAGCACAGCTGTAGGTCTTAAGTACCAATCAGCACAGCTGGAGGTCTAAGTAACAAACAGCACAGCTGGAGGTCTAAGTAACAAACAGCACAGCTGGAGGTCTAAGTAACAGACAGCACAGCTGGAGGTCTTAAGTAACAATCAGCACAGCTGGAGGTCTAAGTAACAGACAGCACAGCTGGAGGTCTAAGTAACAGACAGCACTGCTGGAGGTCTAAGTAACAAACAGCACAGCAGGAGGTCTAAGTAACAGACAGCACAGCTGGAGGTCTAAGTAACAGACAGCACTGCTGGAGGTCTAAGTAACAAACAGCACAGCAGGAGGTCTAAGTAACAGACAGCACAGCTGGAGGTCTAAGTAACAATCAGCACAGCTGGAGGTCTAAGTAACAATCAGCACAGCTGGAGGTCTAAGTAACAAACAGCACAGCTGGAGGTCTTATGTAACAGACAGCACAGCTGGAGGTCTAAGTAACAGACAGCACAGCTGGAGGTCTAAGTAACAATCAGCACAGCTGGAGGTCTAAGTAACAATCAGCACAGCTGGAGGTCTAAGTAACAAACAGCACAGCTGGAGGTCTAAGTAACAAACAGCACAGCTGGAGGTCTAAGTAACAAACAGCACAGCTGGAGGTCTAAGTAACAGACAGCACAGCTGGAGGTCTAAGTAACAAACAGCACAGCTGGAGGTCTAAGTAACAAACAGCACAGCTGGAGGTCTAAGTAACAGACAGCACAGCTGGAGGTCTAAGTAACAGACAGCACAGCTGGAGGTCTAAGTAACAAACAGCACAGCTGGAGGTCTAAGTAACAAACAGCACAGCTGGAGGTCTAAGTAAAGGACAGCACAGCTGGAGGTCTACGTAACAGACAGCACTGCTGGAGGTCTAAGTAACAATCAGCACAGCTGGAGGTCTAAGTAACAAACAGCACAGCTGGAGGTCTAAGTAACAGACAGCACTGCTGGAGGTCTAAGTAACAATCAGCACAGCTGGAGGTCTAAGTAACAAACAGCACTGCTGGAGGTCTAAGTAACAAACAGCACAGCTGGAGGTCTAAGTAACAATCAGCACAGCTGGAGGTCTAAGTAACAGACAGCACAGCTGGAGGTCTTAAGTAACAATCAGCACAGCTGGAGGTCTAAGTAACAGACAGCACAGCTGGAGGTCTAAGTAACAGACAGCACAGCTGGAGGTCTAAGTAACAGACAGCACTGCTGGAGGTCTAAGTAACAAACAGCACAGCAGGAGGTCTAAGTAACAGACAGCACAGCTGGAGGTCTAAGTAACAGACAGCACTGCTGGAGGTCTAAGTAACAAACAGCACAGCAGGAGGTCTAAGTAACAGACAGCACAGCTGGAGGTCTAAGTAACAATCAGCACAGCTGGAGGTCTAAGTAACAATCAGCACAGCTGGAGGTCTAAGTAACAAACAGCACAGCTGGAGGTCTTATGTAACAGACAGCACAGCTGGAGGTCTAAGTAACAGACAGCACAGCTGGAGGTCTAAGTAACAATCAGCACAGCTGGAGGTCTAAGTAACAATCAGCACAGCTGGAGGTCTAAGTAACAATCAGCACAGCTGGAGGTCTAAGTAACAAACAGCACAGCTGGAGGTCTAAGTAACAAACAGCACAGCTGGAGGTCTAAGTAACATTCAGCACAGCTGGAGGTCTAAGTAACAAACAGCACAGCTGGAGGTCTAAGTAACAGACAGCACAGCTGGAGGTCTAAGTAACAGACAGCACAGCTGGAGGTCTAAGTAACAGACAGCACAGCTGGAGGTCTAAGTAACAATCAGCACAGCTGGAGGTCTAAGTAACAAACAGCACAGCTGGAGGTCTAAGTAACAAACAGCACAGCTGGAGGTCTAAGTAAAGGACAGCACAGCTGGAGGTCTACGTAACAGACAGCACAGCTGGAGGTCTAAGTAACAGACAGCACTGCTGGAGGTCTAAGTAACAATCAGCACAGCTGGAGGTCTAAGTAACAATCAGCACAGCTGGAGGTCTAAGTAACAGACAGCACAGCTGGAGGTCTAAGTAACAAACAGCACAGCTGGAGGTCTAAGTAACAAACAGCACAGCTGGAGGTCTAAGTAACAGACAGCACAGCTGGAGGTCTAAGTAACAGACAGCACAGCTGGAGGTCTAAGTAACAATCAGCACAGCTGGAGGTCTAAGTAACAAACAGCTTTGGTAGTCAGGTTGTCCGTGTGTGACATGTTGGACCATCAGCCGAGTTCCAGCGCAACACTGACGAGAAGCCTTAACTCCCTATACATCCCTGAGATGTTTGTTTTATTCTGGCTGATGATAATAATCTGAGGGCTGGATTAGGATTAGAACACATGGGCCTAGAGGTGCAGGGTTAGGGTTATGCTGCTTATTTAACATAGCCATCAGGTTTACTGGGTTTGGGTTTTGGGCTCAGAGCAGGAGCGGTCCTCTGGTCCACTATTGGACAGGAAGCCAGTACCGGTGAAATATACCACCTCACCGGTGGGTTAGAGCGATCCTCATGTAGCGACCAACTCCCTTTACCAAGAAGAACCCCCTACAGAACCTGGTCCATGTGGTTCTCCATCCATGGATCACTGAGCTTTGGGTCTGGTACCGAGATCCGTCTACAAACAAGGAACTGGTTCTGGATTAGAATCTGATTCCAAACCAGTTTCTTTACCTCGTTCAGGTGTGTTTGAAATGTTAATCATGTGTGTTCAGGTACCGAGGCCAGATGGTAAACCAGATGAACTGGGTCTGATGGTTCTGGATGAGCCCAGTGTGAAGCAGTCTAACCCCCAGGTGCTGTCCTTATGGCTGTCAGAGGAGAGCAAGCAGCACCAGGTCACACAGGTACACATACACCTGTACTACACCATCAGCACCAGGTCACACCTGTACCACACCATCAGCACCAGGTCACACCTGTACCACACCATCAGCCCCAGGTCACACCTGTACCACACCACCAGCACCAGGTCACACAGGTACACACACACCTGTACCACATCATCAGCCCCAGGTCACACAGGTACACACACACCTGTACTACACCATCAGCCCCTGGTCACACCTGTACCACACCATCAGCCCCTGGTCACACCTGTATCACACCATCAGCACCAGGTCACACCTGTACCACACCATCAGCACCAGGTCACACCTGTACCACACCATCAGCCCCAGGTCACACCTGTATCACCCCATCAGCACCAGGTCACACCTGTACCACACCATCAGCACCAGGTCACACCTGTATCACACCATCAGCCCCAGGTCACACCTGTATCACACCATCAGCCCCAGGTCACTCCTGTACCACACCATCAGCACCAGGTCACACCATCAGCACCAGGTTACACCTGTACCACATCATCAGCACCAGGTCACACCTGTACCACACCATCAGCCCCAGGTCACACCTGTACCACACCACCAGCACCAGGTCACACAGGTACACACACACCTGTACCACATCATCAGCCCCAGGTCACACAGGTACACACACACCTGTACTACACCATCAGCACCAGGTCACACCTGTACCACATCATCAGCCCCAGGTCACACCTGTATCACACCATCAGCACCAGGTCACACCTGTATCACACCATCAGCCCCAGGTCACACCTGTATCACACCATCAGCCCCAGGTCACACCTGTATCACATCATCAGCCCCAGGTCACACCTGTATCACACCATCAGCACCAGGTCACACCTGTATCACACCATCAGCACCTGGTCACACCTGTATCACACCATCAGCCCCAGGTCACACCTGTATCACATCATCAGCACCAGGTCACACCTGTATCACATCATCAGCACCAGGTCACACCTGTATCACACCATCAGCCCCAGGTCACACCTGTATCACATCATCAGCCCCAGGTCACACCTGTATCACACCATCAGCCCCAGGTCACACCTGTACCACACCATCAGCACCAGGTCACACCTGTATCACACCATCAGCACCAGGTCACACCTGTACCACACCATCAGCCCCAGGTCACACCTGTATCACACCATCAGCACCAGGTCACACCTGTACAACACCATCAGCACCAGGTCACACCTTTATCACACCATCAGCCCCAGGTCACACCTGTATCACACTATCAGCACCAGGTCACACCTGTATCACACCATCAGCACCAGGTCACACCTGTATCACACCATCAGCCCCAGGTCACACCTGTATCACACCATCAGCCCCAGGTCACACCTGTATCACACCATCAGCCCCAGGTCACACCTGTATCACACCATCAGCACCAGGTCACACCTGTATCACACCATCAGCCCCAGGTCACACCTGTACCACACCATCAGCGCCAGGTCACACAGGTACACACACACCTGTACCACACCATCAGCCCCAGGTCACACCTGTACCACACCATCAGCACCAGGTCACACCTGTATCACATCATCAGCACCAGGTCACACCTTTACCACACCATCAGCCCCAGGTCACACCTGTACCACACCATCAGCACCAGGTCACACCTGTATCACATCATCAGCACCAGGTCACACCTGTACCACACCATCAGCCCCAGGTCACACCTGTACCACACCATCAGCACCAGGTCACACCTGTATCATATCATCAGCACCAGGTCACACCTGTACCACACCATCAGCCCCAGGTCACACCTGTACCACACCATCAGCACCAGGTCACACCTGTACCACACCATCAGCACCAGGTCACACCTGTATCACAGCATCAGCACCAGGTCACACCTGTACCACACCATCAGCCCCAGGTCACACCTGTATCACACCATCAGCACCAGGTCACACCTGTATCACACCATTAGCTCCAGGTCACACAGGTACACACACACCTGTACCACACCATCAGCACCAGGTCACACCTGTACCACATCATCAGCCCCAGGTCACACCTGTACCACACCATCAGCCCCAGGTCACACATGTATCACCCCATCAGCCCCAGGTCACACCTGTATCACACCATCAGCCCCAGGTCACACCTGTATCACACCATCAGTACCAGGTCACACCTGTACCACACCATCAGCACCAGGTCACACCTGTACCACACCATCAGCCGCCGATGACACAGGTACACACACACCTGTATCACACCATCAGCCCTGTTAGATTAATGTAACATAGTCCTGCAGGAGCCTACAGGACGAAGACTTGTTCAGAGGGAGGAAGCAGACCTTCTGCTGCTTGTAGTAAAACCAGGACTGAGCACAAGCTTCTGGATCTGGAGGCCAGATGGATGGTGGGTTGGTGTCTGCAGGTCAACGGTCATCTTGTGGTCAATTAGGTGGTGGAAACTGACAC